GTGGTGTACGTTGAGTTTCCAACAGTAGATTGGCCATTAATCGTTGTATCTGGCGGCGTAACAGTCCCACTAAGTGAATAAGTTACGGTAAGATCTTTAAAAGATAGGAGAAAGAAATTTGAATGAGCCAACTATAACAACATTTTATTTGATATAAATCTTCTCTTACCAATATATGTAGTCCTTTCTGTAGTGGTTCCTAACCACATGCCACCATTTTTTGGTAGCAATACCGTAAATGTCGATTCGATAAATACATAGATCTATAACAATATTAAAATGATACCAACTTGTTTAATTAATTCATTCTTTTATCAATTCTTTTTTTTTTTTTAATGCTTCTTTCTTTTTTATTTTTACCTGCAATGAAAAAGCGACGAAAAGAAATAAATTTATTTTCATTTTTGTCAATGTGTATTCATGATTTAAATTATAAATACAGTATTGAAATTCAATTGCTAAACATAGATTATGAATTAACACATACGTGTAAGATTATTTGATGAAATATTACTGACCACTACTATTTTTTGTTATGTTTGTCCATGTGCGAATATTTTAAATGGCTTAAAAGCAACTCGTGAGCTGCCCCATTTCCTTTTAGTTAAAAAGGAAATGATTACCATGAAATAATTGTATTTTAATGTATATGATAGATACTTTATGTTCTGATCTATTCGTGCTATATATGCTGATCTGAACATCCCAAAAAATTTTTATCGTACTTGGGTCATATTTATATCTTTTTGCTCATCATGTGGCTTAGATCTTCTATTTATACAGGAGGCTTTTATATATCTTATACTAAAAATTTTTTTATTTGTGACTAGGCAATCGGCAAGCCAATTACTTTCTTGTAATAAGCTTCTTTTCAAACAAAAAATAACTACTTAACAAGATAGCTGCACAATTGTGTTGCGTTATATTTGAACCTCTAATTTTGCGAGTTTCAACTTAGCATAGAGTTAATACCTCACTATGTTTTATATTCGGATATATCCAGATATTGTAACAAATTAAAATTTTAGTTTCTTTATTTTAGTTCTAAACTTATATTTTAGTTCCACATGTACGTAGTTTATTTAATAATGTCCAATGTTTGATTATTTCATAACTTATACTAAAACGGTAATGATGGATTAGCTTGGTGGCTTAATCATATGAATGTTACTCAAGGCGCGTAGAACGGAACAGTACGTAAACATAGCCGTTTGAACATGTTACAATAGGCTACTTGCATAATCCCAAGGAAAAAGCTTAGAAATGGGGAAGTAAACATCCCATGGCTAAGTGAACGTAGCCGTAGTGGAGTAAGCGTAGCTGTTTGGATCAGCTACTTGCATAATCACAAGGAAGTAGCTTAGAAAATAGGTGTGTAAACGTAGCCATGATTGCGTAGACTTAGCGAAAGTAGTGTATACGTAGCCGTTGGAGTGTAAATGTAGCCAAAATTGAAAATGTATTTAAAGACCTAAAGTTTAAGGCCAAAAAGGCAGAATTTTTCAGTTCTATTTGATTATTAAATAAAGAATTCAATCCATTCCGTCATTAAATAAATAATTTGTTCTACATTCGCTTGAATAAAAGTATATACTTATCTGAATATTCCCTTGTGTATTGTTTTTTGAATTCAACTTTAACTTTAATAAACCCTTTCGAGGCTCAATTCGATGGACTGAATTGACTTGTAACTTCGATTCGGCTTATTAAGACTCGGATTCTAGAACGTTTGTGGAATCAGATATTGCCATTCACTTTAGTAGCTTGCGAGAATTGTGGTAGAGAACGAGACTTACGATCAATTACTAAACTCAGTTAATCCCTCTCATACCTTTAAAGTTACCGCTGATATCACTTGATCATCGTCTACTTTTAGCTCACCATCCTTATTGAGATATCTACAACAGCATCACCTGTAGTTGCATCACCACCTTTATCACCCCTATTCATATTAAAACCTTCGTTTCATAGTGTCATATTGTTTCAATAAACCTTCAACAATTCTAAAAGACTCTCTTCGCATTTCTAAGTTTATCTTTATCTCCCCGTACACCGTTGGGGTTAAATTGGCCTTTCATCTATATTATTTTCTTAAG